AACACATGTGATTCCATAGAATCTTGGCTTGAAAAATATATTTTATTTTATTTTTATTTGTGTGTAAAAGTCAATTGAAAGGCAAAACCATAAATTTTATGAATTTGTTCTGTACATTAAATTTTATGTTGTACACTTACTTATTTGTTATTTCATGTCATGGCATCAGATGAAAATGATGTTTTATTTAGAAATTGGAAACACTCCTTTCGTTTGGTCAATTAATTACCTTGAACAACATTAGGGGAAGGAGCGGCAGTAGGAGAGATGGATGGTCCATTTGCCACAGCCTCTGTCAATAGTAGCAAACTATGAATAAGATTAAATATGAATAAACTACTAGCCCACATACATTGAAAATGGTGTTTATTATCAATAATATAACAAAAAGAGGATTGCCATGTGTAAAATTGAAACATACCTGGAGAAGGAGAAGGAGCAGGAGCACCAGCAGCTGCAATTCAAACAACAAATTAATCAACAAATAAATAAAAATAAAAAGGCAAAGTAGTTGGATTGGATAAGTAAAAGTGAAATGATTGTGTAACCTCTGCACTGTAGGGGCACTTGGGGCATATTGCAAGAAGTGGGCAAAGAAATTGCAGATGTTCGGTTAACAGGAATTCGAAATGGAAAGGCGCCAGTGGCAAGCAAACAAAGGCAATCTTTGCCGTTTGCCATCAGAGATCTAATGGAATTGCAGCAGTCGGGTGGAGGTGTCGTCCCAGTGGCGTTAGACAAGAAATTGATGCAAGGTGAGAAAGTTGTCATCATTGTTGAGGTGCACGGGGCATTTACTTGGCCCGAGACAAATGAAATTGACAACACCATAGTTGAAAGACCTAACATCATCAACAACTTGAAGGCCATTGTGAAATGGGATTTTCTTTCTTTCTTTTTGGTTGTCAGAGATGTGAAGGTGAGGGAAGTTGCAAGAACTTGCAGGTGGAGGAAATGTTTTATGGTGATTGCCCTGGAATGTTTCAATTTCTTCTTCTTTTTTTCTGATGCTTCGGAAAGAGAGTGTGTGATGAATGGATTTTATAGTGGGAGAATTTGAATGGAAATGTGTGGAGGGAATTATAAAAAGTGGGTTGGAGAGTTGGTCTTATGGCTCAACTACTTCTAACTAATTATTTTTGTATTACTATGAACATGCACGTGATATTTTTATTTTTTTTTATTAAAATTATTCTATTATTAAATTTGATTTAATAATATTATATAATTTTATTTCCATTGGTTAACAAAAAATTGTGTATTTTATTATAAGATATAATATATAATACTATTAATTGAACTCTATGACAAATAAAATTAAATAAAAAAAATATTGGTTAGAAAATCTAAAATAAAATTAATATTTTTTTGTGAAATTTTAAATGCTTAAGAAATTTATGTCGTCCTTGATTTTGTTATTTAATGATATCATCATTATGCTTAAAATAATAATCATTATTATTGTCAAAATAATAGTATTTTAATGTCTTCCTTTTACGTCATACTCTTTGAAAAATACCCCGAATATACTATAACTATAATTTGTGATTATCATTTTTTTAATTATTGATTGGAAGCTAACACTAACACTATGGTTGAATATTTCGTTATCTATTGTTTTGATCATAACTGTTGAAAATTCAATTATATATGCACGTGTAATATTTCATAATATTTAGATATATATTTTTTCTTTGTATATAATGACATAAGAGATATAAATATGTGAAAATATCTTTAAAGTCGTAATTATTTTATAAAAAAAAAGAAAATTTACTTGAAAATTATTAGGAACAATAACATCCTTGATTAATTAAAGGTGACCATCTATCTATATATATTGCTGTAACATTAGTTGATTGAAGGTATCTATGTATATTGTCCAAAATAAATTATTATTGCATTTTCTAAAATTGCCATGCGTACATTATCATTTTCATTCATGGATTTTCAAGACTAGCTATCTTAAAAGTGAAAAATAAATAACTCTATTTTAGATAAATTAATGATGATTCTTTTATATTTTATTTTTATCTTAATATAATTTTTATATATTTGTATAAAGTTTATGTTTCCTACTTTTGAGAAGTTATTTGAAAATTATAATTTATCTATGATTTATAAATAAGATTGGCTAATGAAAATAAATTTTAAGTAAATGCAATATTAGTTTTTATTTAATTGATTTTAATTGTAACTATATATTATTTAAGAAGTACACATATTTTGAAATTCAAGATTCAAAATTGAGTGTTAAATATTTTATTTTATTTTTATAATTAATCTATTTTGATGTATATTACAACTAAAGTATATGATAGAGTAATTTATGTAACACACATTATCATGAAAGAACATTCATACTATACATCCTATTACCTGATAAACCTAAATTGTATCATGCATATTGTTTTAGTGATTAACTAAACAAAATAATCCTATTAAGACTACATATTAATTCACTTAACTAATAAATTTTTTCCACAAAAAATTGATATTTTGTATGTTGAATAACTATTTTTGATTCAATCATTCTTAAACATATACATGTTCACTAAATTATTTCTCTTTAAATTTTTTAATGCTATAACAAAAATATCTATAGTAAAATAGGACATTTGGAAATTACAAATGATAAATTCATTGGTGCATTATATATTTTTTGCTTATGAAATAAATATATTTTAATTACAAAACCTTAAAATAATATTCTCTCTTACATTTAAAAAATACATTTTTCTTAAATTTTATTTTTAATTATGTATTTGTTTAGATAATCTTAACGTTTTTATATCAACTAAGAGAAATTAAATTATTAAATAGGTAATAAATATAATAAGAGATTAACAAGATCATTGATGACAAAAAAAAAAAGTAGAACGAAAACAAATTGATTAAAAAAGTGATTGTAATTATTAATATTAGTAGCTCCCTCACAGTTGTGACAAAATCACATTAGTAACCTTAAAAATTAATTATAGCGTATGGAATTTTCGACAATTCAATTTTTTCAAGAAACAATTCTCCCTTATAAGATAGTTGTTTCAAAATTGAACTTCAATCCATTTCAATTATTCTAGGGATTTAAAATCCCACAGTGAAAATGAGTGAATTTATTTTGATTAATTTCGATTAAACTAAAAAAGAGAGTAGGTTATCTATTACATAAAAATTGTATTTTTACTTATAAAAAATGATTATTATCATATTAACTTGTTATCATAATATTTACTTCAGTGGATTTTTACTATATTTTGAAAATGACAGTGAAAGTTCACGAACATTCAACTGTAATTAATATTCAAAATATATCTTAGATTAGAGTTGATAATATATAATGATTTGTAACTCATTTGCTCACATTTAATTAAAAGACTAATACATTCTGAATGTTGAAAATAAGGTCCTAAATTATAGTTTCATTTTTAAAAATTTGAAATTATAAACTCATCATTACATTTAATTTATATTTATAATAGATATGAGTAAACATTTAAGACATAGTGATGAAAATAAACATTTATGAAGGTAATTTGTAAATAATATGTATTGAAAATTAAAAAGAATATTTATTATTTGGCTTAATACTTATTACTAGTACAGAGCCCGTGCGATGCACGGGGTGCACAATTTTAAGGCTATTTATTCAGGCTTATAATTATATACATGAATAAAGAAAAATACGGGATATATATAGTACGTGACCCGTGCGAAGCACGAGATATATTTATTTGGAGAATATTATATTATAAGATGCAATATTCAATAAAAGTTTATAATACGCAAGAAATTGTACAATGTTCAATAAAAGTTTTATAATATTCAAGTGGAGTCTTAAAGTCTCTTTTACATTAAGACTACTGACAAAATAATATTTTAATCAATGAGTTTCCTTTCCTTGTAGCCAAATTGTGAATATGATTTGAGGAGTACAACAAATCGATATATAGCTGACTTGCTTTTTTCATTGTAATTTTTTTTCTTTTTTTTTTTTATAATGAATTTAAAGATATTCTAAAATATAGCAAAAATTAATTTTTTTTATTACAATTAGGAATTTTACTAAATATAAACTCTCAATCTATGGTGTTAATCAACGTTTAAGTCTAAAAAATTAGGAATTTTTACCTCTTTTAATCAACGTTTAAGTCTAAAAAACAATAGAGTTATTATAAGTTTTTTTTTTACATCTTTTAAAACATTAAATATGAGCATGTTAGGGCTAGCTTGTAAAATAATTAATATATTATCTCACTAAAACATTTATACTAATAAAAATTTAATTTTAGCATATAAATTTATCCCTTGATATAAGAGAAAGTAACAGTTTTACTTATTGTTGTTCACCATATAATATTTAATTATTATTTTATTATATAATAAAAAAGAAATATTGTTAAATAGTGTAGTAGAATTGTTATAAAATTATATGATTTTTTTTTTTAATATGGATTTAATATTTTTTTATGATTTGATAATATAAACAAATCTATACTTAACTTTGACAAATAAAACAAATAAATACTTTAGTAAGTATTTAATGTATATACTAAATAGGAATATATTTGGTATAATCAAATACCAAATATAATCAAATAAGTCAAAGTGTACATTTTTATTTGGTATTTGATTTTTTATTATTAAAATCTTTTTATTATATTTACCTTTTTAAAATAAAATAAATAAATAAATTAATGAAATAAATAAAATATTATAATACCAAAATAGTAATGACATTTAATGCAGTTGACTTTTCTAGATAGTAAATGTAGTAAATAGAATATCCTTTTATATAGTATAATACGAAAATAGTAATGCAATAAATGTTGTTTACTTTTCTGGCTACTTAATTTGATAAATAGTATCCCTTTAATATAAGTATAGATTCCTTATATGTATTACTAACTTTTCTAAATTGTGGAAGCATCATACTACCTTCTTTTTTTAGTTTTTTTTCTCTATTTCACCAAAAAATTATCCACCATAAATAATGAAAATACAACCACGATAAAAAAAATATTAATTATAATGCCACAATACTAAAATATCCAAAAGAAATAATGAAAATAAAGTAAATATCCAAAAGTTATGTTTCTTTTTCTGGTAATTGGAGTTTTAGATTAAATGAATAATAAGTAAATATATAAGTTATGATTTATTTTGTTGGCTCTATTTTGGTTGCTTATAGGACAACTACATTATAATAAACTAATATGAATAAGTATGTATAATGATTCTCATTTTCTGTCCAAATAAAATACACAAAAAATTTATTAAAAAAAAAAGAATAGATATCGATATTAACTTATTTTAATGAAATATTAATTTATAAATTTATTAATTGTAAAATACTATATATATCTCTTACAGTTCAAATAAAATACACAAAAAAGTATACAAAATAACATAATAAAATAAAAATTCGATATCAATCAACATTATTATTTTAGTAAAATGTTACTGATTAAGTTATATGAACTGTTTTTACCATGAGTACAATTTTGGAGAGACGCGAAAACTATGGGTAGTCGTCTAGTATATTTGTAATTTTTTCTTTATTAGCTATAAAATGTAATATACATACTTTTTAGATGTGATATTCAATATTTTTTTCTTCATTGTCTTTTATAAATAAAGCCTAGTCAAAGATTTTGGATATTTCAGTGGACCCAGAAGTGTGGAAACTTAATACTACATTTTCTATTTTTCTCTAATTCACAAGACATGCCCACTATACATAATGAAAATGAAAGTATGGTAAAACATAAAGTAATTATGATATCACAATACTAAAATACTAATACTAATAATAACAATAATAATAATAATAATAATAATAATAATAATAATAATAATAATAATAATAACAATAATAATAATAACAATAATGAAATGTGGCAGTATGATAAACTTTAAATGAATCTTAATGTCATATTGAATAACAATTTCATTTGAAAAACATTTAGATGACATATAAATTAGTGGTATACCTTAATATGCAACAATTTGTGATTGAAAAGGACCAACAATTTAAAAGCCGATGCTCCAAAATGCGACTATGCATACTCTTGTCATAAATAAATTAATATTTGTAGATGATGAAGAATAACGGGATGGGATTAATATAAATTTATATAAATGAAAAATAATTGTATATGACGAAAAGAAAATGAAAGAGTTGGAGACAACTTATTTATAATAACGAAGATAGGTGTGTGGTTGTAATGTTATCTAAATAAAAATTATAATATTACATTTATATCCTTCAAACAAAAATTATATTTTTTTTTCTTAAGAATATTATTGGCAATTCAAGTTTCTATTTAAATGTGGTTGGATGAGTTACAAATCATCATTGTCAATCCTAATTTAAAATTATAAATTACATTTATGTCCTTTAAAGTAACATCTTTTGAGGGTAATATGGGCAATTCAAAATTTTCAAGAAACTACTCATCCTTTTAAGATAGTTATAGATTATAGATTATAGATAGATAGATATAGATGTTTCTTGTGGCTGGGTTCTAGCTGCATACTTCTGCGCATCTTTTGTTATGTTATATTTCCATCATTTGACCCTTTGATAATTGAATGAAAAGAATATCAATAGACAAGGGCGTAGCTAGAATAATTTTTCACCCATGGCTGCAAAATATGTAGTTGTTATTCGAACTGAGTTTTTCCCTATTATAGTTTGATTCGACTTGTAAAAGTTCAAAGTTGAGTTGCTTGTATATTTATACGAGCCAAACTCGAACAACTAATCGAGTTTGTCTATCAAACAAGTCGAGTCGAGTGTGTTCGCGAATAATTCGTTTAAAGTTTTGGGTTTTGGTCTAGGTTTTAAGTTTTATTAAATGACTTGAACTGAGTTTATACAAGTCGAATGCAAGCTCAAATTTTTATTTGTTTATTAAATGAGCTGAACCACGACAACTCGTTTATTAAAGAAACATGAGTTTGAACTTGAAATAATCGATTCAAAAAATATAACTAGACACATGTATAAAGAAGTCAAATTATAAAAATAATTTTTAAATTTAATATAAATTACATGAATCACACAGTATATAATATTAAAAAAATAAATATTGCATTTATAAAATAAAAATTATTATACTTTCTAACTAGTCGTGTCGTGAGTTGTGTTTTGGTTGCTAGCGTTGCTAGTGTCGGTTCTAGGTGGTCTTCGGAACTGTCCTCCAAGTTTTTCAGTTGTTGGTTGTATTATTCAGCTAGGGTTGTATCTTTGCACTTTTGTGCGTTTTATCTATAACATCTCTATCGTTTCGAAAAAAAAAAAAAACTATCATTTATTTAAAAATCCAGTGAATATATAAACTTGATTTTGAAATCTGTAAATTCAATTTCTTACCAAGTACTCTAATGAAAGTCTAACACAATCAAATATTGTATTGAATAAAATTATTTAAATAAAATCTTTTTAATCAAATAATACAAAATAAACAAAAATATGACATAAAAGACGGATTTAGAGTGAAATTTCATACATAGTTTTTTCTTTAGGAAAATCATAAGTTAACTTATTTGAGATTAAAATTTGTTAAGACCTTTTAAGATTTTCTAGGATTTGGAAACAAAAACCCATATATGAAATTGCACTTCAAATACTACCTGGAGACTTAAAATTTCACAAGATTCTTCCTAAATCTGAAATGAATACCTCAAGTCTTTTAAAAATTTTAAAAAAATCTAAATTAAATACACCAAAATTTCTAAAGTCTTAACAAGTTTTTAGAAATTATAAACGAATACACCCCTTTAAATCATGTTCAAATATATAATTCATTGATTAAATATAAAAAAAATTTGACTTATTTTGGGCCAAAATAAGAATAATATTGGGCTAATGTAATATAACATAGACTAAAATACATTTTTATCTATATAAAATTAACAAAGTCGAAAAATTAAGACCGGGCTAGAGCCCACCCCAATCTTTAGGGTGACTCCCCCTGTCTATAGATGTTATTGATTATAAAATAAACCACATATTTTTTTGTTGGATAAATTTTTGTAACTTTGTAATTCAAATTTATCAAAACACTCCTCAATATTCTCAATATAATTAAATAATATCAATCAATCATTCTCACATATTACATTCACTATTATTCACTATTCATCAAGTCACATAAGTTTTAACAACCTATTAATTTCATTAACATCTCTCTTACTTTTACATTACATCAATTTTAATAATTATAATTTAAATATTATTTAAATCCAAACTCAAAATTTAACTCGAATCACCACTCAATCATATTGTCACATTAATTATTCTCCCGCCAATATACTCACTAGTACATTTGCACGAGCAAGCAAGAATGAGTTTATATTTATAATAACATATTAATAAAACAAAAAAGAATATTTTAGCATACATATTTAATAAATGATTATTTGATCCACATAAGTACTAATAAAAGAACATATAAAATGTATATTATTGAACATCTCCTTATACACAACATACTTGATTTGATTAATCTTATGCTATGCAAGGGAAAAAATTTGGTTTGTTGATTTTAATATAGAGGTACATAAATTTTCATTTATTTCTAGGTCTGATTGTTAATAAGAACCACTGTTTCAATGAATTATGAATTGATTGATCTTTAGTTATTTATTTTGGCATTTATACACTGATTTAAGTTCTTTTTTAAATAAACTAGTATGTGGCCCGTGCGATGCACGGGTAAATAATATTAAATAATAATTATAAATTGAAGATATAGGTAAATAATATGTATTCGTTTAGAATTTTGAGTGCCACTTTGAGATTTTTTAAAATTTGAGACTTTTAGGATGGTCAAATTTTAGAGAAATACTATGAAATCTTAAATGAATGTGAGATTTAGAGTGGAATTTTGTATAAGGTTTTTTTCTTTTAAATCATAACTAATCTTAAAAAGACCTAACAAATCTTGATCTCAAAAAAGTTAAATATTTAAGGATATTTTAAGATTTTTTTAATTTTTAAATATCAAAGATGAACCGCTTTTGTTACCAAAAAATGTGGACACAATTTTGAATGTACATCCCGTCCAAATATCTGTTTTATTCTAAAATAAAAATTGCACGTGGTTTTATCCAATTTACACACTTTTTTTTGAAAGAAAAAATTATTCAATAAGATTGGAAGAATTGGTTAAGAATTATACAACTATTTGTTTCCAAAAATTATATCCAAAATGTACGGTTTTTAAGTTAATTTGTATTTAGAATTGTTTTCATAAATAATTGACACATTTTTTGCATAAGAATCTCCAAATTTGTTACCAAAATATATATGATTTAAATTTTGGTAAAAAAATAAAATATAATACGAAAAAAATGGGATTCAAATTTTGCCATAAGAATCTCCAAATTAGTTACCAAAAAAATAGGATTCAAATTTTGTTACTAAAGATTCACGTGTATTTTTTTGAACTTTCCATTAATAGTAAGTCAAACCTTATATTTATTTGGTCAATCTTTCTATTAATGTATTTTTCCAACAACTTCTATACATATATAGATATTGATAATTTTACCTTATTCATAGGTTGGTTATATATATTTTTATAAATAATGATTGATTATTATGACATATGTATAATGAATTTTAGTTGATATCAATAGTATCTCAATTTGATTACAATCAGCTTTACATGGATATCAACATGTGAGCGGGTTTACGGTTAAGGCCGACCGCGAGTATTTGTGAGCGGGTTTATGGCTTGTGCCGACCGCAAGTAGTTGTGAGCGGGTTTACGGCTAGGGCCAGCCGCAAGTGTTTGAAGTTTGGAGAACTTGTATTCAAAGGGTTGAGTTTGGATTTTTGAGTTGGTGGAGAATCAGAAGCGTTTCATCAAGTACTTTTTCATTCGCCAAAGGGTAGGCTATAGGTAAAAAACTCTTTCGGGAGTTTATAACGGTTTTTCATATCAAGAGAGTTAAAGCATCTAGAAAGGTATTTGTAAGGCGGGAATGAGGTATTTAACAATCAGGAAGGATCATCTATTAGGCTAATCGAGAGTCATAGCTCGACATCCTAATGCACTCTTTTATCTGCGAGGTACCATCTACTTAGTCATGACTCTTCGACCTCCGGTGTCTTTGTTGTCTGGTCGACTTGCCTGTTCGCCCAGTACAACCGAATCACTCCTTAGATCGCCCTCGACTTGGTATAGTACTATCCCATATCACAATTATAAAATAAATATATGATTTTACTTTTTTATTAAAAAATTAAATCATCTACTAATACAAATTCAAAATAGTAATACTATGCATCAATTTAAAAAGTCATCTATAAATTCATTATATATGAATTAAAAAGTCATTATAATATAAAACGGGTCAATCTGAAAAATCTCATTTTAAATATGAGTAATAATACAACTTTTTAAAAAAGTAATTAAAATTTAAATTAAAAAAACTCCTCTCTTATATTTTTTTTTAGGCACGTTACATTTAACTACAACTTTGCTAGTCCTTTATTATTATGATATTTATGTATAATTATAATTTTGCCATTTAAATATTCCAAATACAAGGACTTCTTAGTTTATATATTTTTTTTTCAACAAAATTACTCACTTTTTATAATAGTATAAATATAGATGTCCAAATTTATGTTCGGCCATGTATACGGGAGCACCTGTCAAATTATTTAACCTCAATCTATCGTTTTTTCAGCTGTTGGCTGCTTGTATTAAGCTATTGGCTGTTTGTATTCAGTTGGTGACTGACATTTTGCACATTTATGTGCGTTATATGAAATCTCTATAGGCCAAAAAANTTAAACCAATTCAAACCTGTAGTAGTATAAAACTATAATCATTCCCCATCCTTTCCTATAACACAAAAATAAGTTTTCAATCAAATATAATTACAATTTAGAGCTCAAATTCCCAATAATGGCGTCAAAAGGAATAGTACTTGGTACAATTCAATTGGTACTAGCCATGGTCTTCATACGGGCCACGGCTCAGTCAGGGTGCAGCAGTGTGCTGATAGGCATGGCCTCGTGCCTCAATTATGTGTCGGGTGAGGCCACCTCACCCTCCCCCTCATGCTGCTCGACTCTTGCTAATGTGGTTCGGAGTCAGCCCAGGTGCCTATGCATCATAGTCAACGCTGATGGTGGGGCCACAATAGGGGTCAGCATTAACAAGACACTTGCACTTGAGTTGCCCACTGTGTGCTACGTGGAAACCCCACCAGTTAGCCGCTGCATTAATGGTAAGTGGTGTATGGACGTTTAAGTAGAAATTCAAACAAGGAAAATAATCCGACTAAATTGCAATTTTTTTATTTCCTCATCTTCAAATTTCGTTTTTTTTNGGACGAAATTGAAACCTTTTTTTCCAAACATAAAGTACCATTTTGCAACAAAAAAAAAAAAAATTATAACTTTTTTGCAAACATGCGGAAAAATAAAAAACGTAATTCAAAGAGGACCAAAAAGTTAAGATAATGAAACATAGAGGACTAAAATTTCAATTTACATAAATAATCCTCAATTTTTCTTTCTCCCTATTGCACCAACTAGTATGTACCCGTGCGATGCACGGTGGGCGCATAACTTAAAACATATTGAAGTACTTATTTTAAATGTAATTAATAAATTTAACATCTAATTATGGAAACAACAAAATAAATAAAAAAGAAATCATATATTATTAAAAACTTCTCTGTACACAACATTATTTGTTTGATTTTGGGGCAATCATGTTCACCACATATTAGAATTGTTTATATTTCAAATATTTTTTTAGACTTTATTTTAAATATAATTGTTTATATTTTTCACATCTCATCTCACTACAGAATTAAAATAAATAAAAAAATAAAAAATTATATATTATTAAATACTTCTCTTTATGCAACATATTTCATTTAATGAATATTATTAAAGCTTTTAGTTTGATTTTTTTTTAAATCATTTAACCAATCTATGATTGTTAATGTACAAAAAGTAATGGAATGAATCCAAACTTTAAAGTAGAGCTATATTTTTTTCTTTAACAAATCAAAACCATCCAATATTTCTTTTAAGCAATTCTATATCGCAATTACAATATATACTTCACACCAATTTATTCAATGACCAACTATTAGTCAAATTACTTATCAAATTAGAAGAGAATCAAAATATTATCCTACATCTTCTTTTTTTATTTGTTATTTAATTTCTTTTATCAAACAATTAATAGAAATCCTATTCCCCTCATATAATAATTATTATAAAATCAAATTAAATCTAATTAAAGTAACAATTTAAAACTATTATAAAATTAAATCCATATAATTAAAGTAACAAATTAGACAATAGAATATTTGAAATTGGGTAGAATTTTCACAATTTACGTCATCCCATCATAAATCTGTAATTATGTTGTCATAAAAAAAAATCATTAATATGATTGGTCAACATTAATTTATCGTAAAAGAATTTTTAATATTAATATTCATATTGGTTTCAATAATCGATTTGATCTAGTTAAACTGACCCATAATGCCAATTCCCCGAAAACAAAATACATAACATATTTAAAATTATGATTGATATTTTCAAAAAGAAAAATGTAGCTTAATTAGATTGTCAAATTCGATATTTTTGCTGATTAAACCATTCCAAAATTATGAAAATCAAATCTTGTTCCATAATGCAACCCGATCAATTAAAAAATGTTTTGAACCATTCAAGTCCACCATTCCAGTTTGTTCGTTATGCTGATTGAAGCATTTCAAAATTATGAAAATCAAATCTTGTTCTATAATGCAGACCGATCAATTAAAAATGCTGATTGAACCATTCTTAAAATATGCCGATCGAACCATTCTAAATCAGGTGAACTTTTTCTTTTTTGCGGGAAACAATTGTTATTTTAAAAAGAATCAATACATTATATATATAGATAGATAGATAGATTTAAATTATTGTTTAGTCAGGACATATGTATTCTATATTAATTGGTTTTGATATTGACACTAATTACATAATATTCAATTTTGATTTTGTCTAATAGTATATAAGTCAACATTTATATTTTAACAAATTTGTGTAGGAAAACTATATAAACATTCGGAGTTTATATTATTTGTAAATATAAATGCATTGGAGTTTATATTGTTTATTAACTAAATTCGCAGTATTAAAATATCGTTTAGAATATATTATTATCTTTTAGATTAAAAATCCGTCTTTTTTTTTTTCAAATTATCATTCATTAATTTAATTGTCAACTTCTTTTATTAATATTAGAACGTATAGATGACATAGGCATCACAATAACTTATAATAATTGTAAATGTTAGGATTCTTTCAATATCTTATAATACTTGTTATTGGATAAGAAAATCTTGCCAATCTCATATTTTGTTTCAAAAAAAAGATTTTTATGATATTCATATTTTTTAAATGAATTAAAATTCTTTTTGTTTCCTAACAAATTTGAAACGGATATCCGGCGAAATTAATCAAATTTGTTACCAAAAAAGAAGAATTTGAATAGATTGGAATCTAATATTTTGTACAACAAAAATTGGTGTGTTTAGAGCACAAAACAGTAACCAAAATAATCAAATTAGTTACCAAAAGATAAGGATTCAAACAAATTGGAATCTCAAATTTTTTAAAGCAAGATTTCATGCCATTTTATTCAAAAATTTCAATTTTGTTACCAAAAAGAAGGATCTCAAAATATCTAAACAAAATAACTAATTTTGCAAAAAAGACGAAAAAATGGGGGATTTAAAATCTTACTCATGATAATAATTCAAGTATTTATTTTTTAAGTCAAAATTACTATTTATGTATTTTTTTTTCACAACCTCTTTATATTACTATAGATATGGTGTATTATTTACCTTAAGTAGAATACGATATATTTGATTGGTTAACAAATATTTGTTCCATCTTAAAATATTGATATACATAATCACTTCCGAAAAAAAGGAAGTGAAATCTATTACTATAACAGAAATCAGATTTGGCAAATAAAAAAAGACGTAGAATTTCGAAGGTTATTGGTTAAAATTGACTTTATCCGATATATACCAAATCCCATCCAAAATAATGAAAATGTTAGTCAAATATTTTTAATAAATTTTGAGGGGAAAAATAGAAATTTGAGCGGGAAAATGATAATTAATTTTCGATTTTTTTCCTGATTTTTTCTTAACGGCCACACCGAACACCTCGTCGACGGTGACCCGGAGCACCGGTGGCAGAAAACTCGGTCAGATGAAACCGAGGTCCAACAACACCTAGAGTTGGGATTAGAGCTCTTGCAGCTCCTTTGGCGTCATCGAATCCTGCCCTAATGTCTAGGGGAATACACACCAATACAGTCATCTCTAATTAGAGAGATCAATCCAGGTTATTCAATAGAAGGTTCGAAAGGACCAGGGAGAATGGACCGCACCACCGAGCATACGCAAATACTTAGGTGTGCCACAAATGAACATGTTATGTTACAAAATGAACATGTGCAAACATGTTTGCACATGTTCATTTTGTAACATAACATGTTCATTTTAAATTGCCCTGGCACACCTTGCTAGGTGTGCCAGGGCACACGGTAGTAGCACTGCCGAGCATATCCAGTCTAGCCAGCTACACTACAGAGCAGATATCGTGAAAGAAATCTAAGTCAACAAATACATTGTTTACAATATCCTGGCTAATGTGAATTGCAGTACCTGCCGAAAAACCGTAAATGAGAAGTTAAAAAATATGATTATGCAATCATAAAAAGAATCTAAATCAATGAAAGCAGCAACATCTCAATGTACATGTATTGAGAAAAATAAAAAAGCACGACTTAGATGATCATTCATATTTTTTTTTTTTTTTTGTATTCAACATAACATTGACCCGAAATATTTCAGTTATTTTGTTGATTACAAATTTACCTAAATAATGACGACCGGAGAGTGCTGAAATCCACACTATAAGGCTATGGCGGTAGCTGATTAGTCCTATTCTGCAGATAATTTTTCGTCTCCACCTCCTCCTCAAAATACTCTTCATCACTCGAATCCAGGCTCACGACCTCTCTATAACTTCCACCGCCGCCGCCGCCGTTCCTCTTCGGCACCGCAGCCCTGTTCGCAATCCACCTCCTCTTGGATAAATCTCGATTCCCATTCATCCTCCGCACCTGCTCTCGATCTATGAACCTCACCGTCTCCTTCAATTCCATCTGCCGATCGTCGTCTGAGAACAAAAAAGGCCAAAAAACGATCAACAAAAACCACGGAAAAAAGGCACTAACCCAAACAAATCATGATCAAAATTCAGATAGATAATCACTCGCTGAGTCTCCGACAGTGACGACTGTTCCCCTCCTCCTCGGGCCTCCGTCGGCGGCCGAACCATCACTCCGCAAATCTCTGTTTCTCTCCATCCACTGCTCAAATCACATGAATCCTCCGGATATATCCACCATTTCAAGGCAGAGAAAAAATTGAACATAAACAATATGAAAATCCCCATAACAGCAAAAAGGTGCTATGAGATTCGCACCGACTTTCGCGAAAAATCTCTTTCTCTCTCTCTCTTGTGTGCACTGTTTTTCTCAAGGTGTGATGAGATCTGTTTAGCTTTTTATTCTTTTTATTATTATATTCATATTATTTTAATTAACACTCACGCAAAACCTACTGCACAACCAAAGGTGTGGACGGCGTAATTTTCTCTCCGATCTTAACAAATATTTGTTCCATCTTAACAAATATTTGTTACCAAATTGCATGGGTGGGACATTTGAAAAAATTCAAAAAACTTTGCTGAAAATGGTAAAAAATAAAAAACTAAAGCGGGAAAATGACATTAAAAAAGCGGGAAAACTGAAATATTTTTTTCGAAGTTTTTCAAACATTTTTTCTTAACTGTATTATATAGTAATAGATATCAATATGCATACAAATCCGCATACAACTCTACAGTCTACTTGCTTCGTTTTCATTACTTGTGCAAATTGATATATTCGTGATCAATTTTTTTTTTAATCATGTAAACTGTTTTTAATTAGCTGTTAATGGCCCTGCAATTTCTCCAGAAACTTCACCTCCAGAATCTGCTCTTGAATTTCCTGGTTCTCCAATTAGCCCATCAGTTACAGGTAAGTTTGGACATGCCCGGATTTATAAGTTTTGAATTATGAGATTGGGACTATAATATATATAAGAGTTAAATATGTACTTCACTCTTTCATTTAACTCGCCAATCGGCTGGCAGGATCAAAGACAGGGCCTTCAAATGGCGCAACCTCAAATGGAAGTATGACCAATGGCCACCTTCTACAGCTTGTTACTGCCAATATCTTTGTCCTTATTGCAGCTCCATATGCCTTAACAGCTTTGGACAAAATCTTCTGAAATTAAGTGGTAAATTAATTATGTCTGTGTAGGCAGTGTGTTAATGGGTTAATACCCCTTTTGGTAAAAACTTATTATTATACGTATTGTATCCTGTGAAACTAAATTACACGCCCGGATGGATTTTATGTATGTGTTTATTTAAAGGAAGCGCTGCTCTAAGTTGAAGAAGTTTGTACAATGTTTTTAACGTTATGAGTGCCATAATAAAATGAATATCGAATATCTCTCTATCTCATTCGTTTGGCTAATTTGAGTCTTTACAAAGGAAACCATTCATTTCAAAATCATGAAAGAAATATAAGAATTTGATGATTTGGTGGGTTTGGCGCCTATAAACGAGTCGAACCGAGCTGAGCTCATTAAATAAATGAGCCAAGTCGAGCTCGAGCTCGGCTCGTATATCACTATTAACGAACTGAGTTCGAGTCTTAAGGAGTCGAGTTCGAGCTTTAACGAGCAGAACTATAGAAAATTAATTATATAAAAACTCTATTTGAAGAAAATGATAATGAAGATATTTTTGATGCTCTATTAATTTCTGGGAAAAATCAACTTCTCATTTCACACGTGGTTCATTTAAGTAGCCCGCTCAAATTCAAAATTACACACATCCTAATACGACACCGTTTCATATTAATGAAAACAGAACAAAAAGAAACAAAAAAAATAAAAAAAAAAAAAGAAATAAAGCATGCACACGCACGCATGACGACCACATGTTCATCACCCCCCCGTCAAGTTGGAGCAGGGTTGAGGAAAACCATGCCCAACTTGAAAATCAGAGAAGAAAAGTGCGCAGCAGGGAAAATCTTGGTAAGAACGTCAGCAAACTGAGCTCGGGTAGGAACATAGCGCAGCTCAATGAAACCTTCCTTAAACTTGTTACGAACAACGTGACAGTCGATTTCGAGGTGCTTCGTACGTTCATGGAACACCGGGTTTGCCGTGATGTGCATTGCAGCTCGGTTGTCACACCACAAAGTAATAGGTAGACGTGGATTAAGACGCAAAACAGTAGCAACAACATGAATCCACTGTAGCTCGCAAACAGTGGCAGCCATGGCCCTGTACTCGGCCTCGGCCGAAGAACGCGAGACGGTTGTCTGCTTTTTGCTTTTTCAAGAAACCAAATTGGGTCCCAAGAACACACAATAGCCAGTAATAGAGCGCCGTGTGTCCTTGCAGGCCGCCCAATCGGCATCACAATAGGAACTGTAGTCAAAATTACCACCTGCAGCATAGAAAAGACCAAGTGAAGAAGTTCCTTTCAAATACTTCACCACATGAAGAGCAGTTGTCATGTGATTGGTAAAAGGATTGGTGACAAATTGACTGAGCTGTTGTACTGCATAGCTAATATCAGGTCGAGTGAGGTTGAGATACAACAACCTGCCAATGATTCTTCTATATTGGTCTGGTTCAGCCATAGGGTTCCCATCAAAACTAGAAAGCTTCAAACCATGAGTAAGTGGAGTATGAGTTTCTTTACAGTCAAGTAAACCAAGATCCATGACCAAGTCTGTGATGTATTTTTGTTGGCATAGACTAAGTCCTTCAGTGCTCCTTGTGATTTCAATACCCAAAAAATATCTGGCATCCCCTAGATCCTTGATAGTGAACTCTTGGTGCAAAAAATCTTTCAGAGATTGCATGAGAAGAGGAGAAGACCCAGTAAGGAGGACATCATCAACGTAAACAAGCATTGCTAGGAAGTCCCCATCTTTGTGTTGTGTGAAAAGGCAGTGATCCTGGGAAGATTGCTGCAGCCCATAAGCCATTAGTTTCTTGGATAATTCTGAGTTCCATTCTCGAGATGCTTGTTTTAAACCATATAAACTCTTAGTGAGTTTGCAAACCTTCCCATCCTTAAATCCTGTGTATCCTTGTGGTGGCTTCATAAGAACTTCCTCATTGAGGTGACCATGCAAAAGGCATTGTTCACATCTAGTTGCCACATATTCCAACCCTTCATTGCTGCTAAAGACATAAACAATCTCACTGTGCCCAACTTGGCAACAGGTGAGAAAACCTCAAAGAAGTCCACACCCTCCACTTGATTAAAACCCTTGGCTACCAACCTCGCTTTAAATCTTTCCACCTCTCCATTTGGCTTCCTTTTGATTTTATACACCCATTTGGAGTCTATAGCCTTCTTACCATGGGGTAAATAACACATTGTCCATGTTTGATTTTGATCCAAGGCCTGCAGTTCCAGATTCATAGCCTCCACCCATTTGGCATCAGTTTTAGCTTGATCATAACTCAATGGTTCTTCCTCATGTGCTAGGTTAACCAGGAATTGATCTGCATTTGTGGTTTGTTCCTGCTCCCTATCATCACTGATATAGTCTCTCATCCACAGTGGTTTTGTCCTCACTCTCTTTGTGTTCATCACAGATTTCTCTTGTTGCTCTCTTGTATCAGTTGTGGTTGGGTTTATTGTGATTTGAGGAGGTTCTGACTGATGGGCATCATATGTTGGTAAGGGAATAGGTGAGGAATGTTCCTGAACTGTTTCAGACTTAAAAGGAAAAGTGTTGGGAAAGAATACCACATCTCTGGACACAAACCTTTTCCCTTCCTCAATATCATACAAGTAATAGCCTTTGCAGCCCACAAGATATCCAATAAAGACACATTTATATGATCTGGTGTCAAACTTTCCTTTCAAAGGTGAAGTGTTAGCAGCATAGACTAAAGACCCAAAAGGTTGAAATCTGCTATAATCAGCTTCCTTCCCATAAATTTTGGCAAAGGGTGTGCTCCATCCCAAGGCTGTGCTAGGTAGTCTGTTGATAATATAAGCTGCAGTCAACACTGCATAACTCCAGAATGAAAGTGGCAAACTTGGTTGGAAAATAAGACTTCTTGTAATTTCCAGAAGTTGTCTGTGCTTTCTTTCCACCACCCCATTTTGTTGGGGTGTGTAAGCACAACTTTTCTGATGAAGGATTCCATTTTTAGCCATTAAGTTCTGACATTTCTCCCCAACAAACTCCAAACCATTGTCACTCCTTATTCTTTTGATTACTTTTCCAAACTGAGTTTTAGCCATCAACAAAAACTTCTCAATGTATCCTACTGTTTCCCCTTTAGTCTTCATCAGATAGACCCACACACCTCTGTTGTAATCATCAACTACTGTGAGAAAATATGGTGTGTTTGTCAGATTGTCCTCTCTGCAAGGCCCCCATATATCAACGTGTATCATCTCAAAAATGTCCTGAGACTGTATTTTGCTCAAAGGAAATGGTGCTCTATGCTGTTTAGACTTGAAGCAAGTGTCACACTCTCTCAATACATCTCTGTCAGTACAATATCCTTTCAAAAAACTGATATGTTGCAACACTCCTAATGAGGCATGGCCCAGAACTTTGTGCCAATGCTCAAGGGTTACATTACATGCCACCTGATTGTCTTTGTGCTCCTGCTCCATGGTTAATATGTAAAGTTTCCCTTGCAATTTTCCATGCCCTATCCTCATTCCTGTCACCTCATGTTCAAAAACACAGTGATTTGTAGTGAAAGTGCACCTGAGGTTTGAAGGTGCACATAGCTGTGTGACTGAAAGTATGTTGTATTTGAATGAGGGTATTAATAGCACACCATAGAGAATTAAGTCCGTTGCTAATTCTACTTCACACATCTGAAACACTTCTTTAACAGTTCCATCAGGCAGGTAAATGGTAATTGGTTTGGAAAGTATTACCAAATTCTTCATTAGGCTTTTGTCTGTACACATATGTCTGCTGGCACCTGTGTCAATTACCCAAGCCTTTCCTTCAACATTATCATACATTGACAGTGCATAATCTTCCTCATTTGTGGCAAAATTCACAAAATGCTATTCTTCTATTCTTGTGTGTCTTCCTTTTCCATCATTACTGCCTTTACCAAGAATCTTAGCTACTTCTTGTGCTAATTTAGATATGTCACCCATCGAACTAAGTCCAAATCCAGACATGACTTGATTGTTTTCCTTTATCTCAGCAACATTAGCCATTCCTTTCATTCTGTTATCCCTCATTTCTTTGAACCAGTCTGGATAACCATGTAACTTGAAACATGTGGTCCTTTCATGTCTCTTCTATCCACAATTGTCACATGTCAGTTTAGATTTCTCTTCCTTAGACAACCTTTGTCCAACTCTACCTCTTCCATGAGGAGACTGACTATTTGGGAATTTGCTATTCACACCTCTACCAAATGATGTATTTGTCTTAAAAGACATTGCCATTCCTGAATTGAAGTCATCACTTCCAACCTGCACAGACCTCTGTCTTTCAGCTGACAGTAACATGGAGTAGGCTATGTTAACAGTGGGCAAAGGATCCATTAGTAACACCTGATTTTTCACATGCTCATAACTCTCATTTAGCCCCATCAAAAACTGCATAAGTTTATTTTGTTGATATTGCGCATCCATCTTTTTTCCAATCTCACACGGACATATCAGATGAGGTACTAAGCATCCATACTCTTCCCATTTTCTCTTCAATTTGTTAAAATATATCATAACTGAATCAGTTCCTTGTTTCAGATTTGAAATCTCCCTTTGTAATTGGTAAATCAACGGACCATTACTTTCACCAAAGCTTTGACAAATCTCATCCCATAACTCTCTATCAGTCTCAGCAAAAACAAATCCATCGGCAATATCCTTAGAAATTGAGTTTAAGATCCAGGAAATTACCATACAGTCGACTTTCTTCCATTTTTCGAAATTTGGATCTCCTGCATCTGGTGGTTGGACCAAGCCATTCATGAACCCTATCTTCGTCTTCGCACCAAGTGCGATCATCATTGATCTTTTCCATGTCAGAAAATTGGCTCCTGTCAATGGATGCGAGACCAATTGTAAGCCTGGGTGATCCGATCCATGAAGGAATAGTGGATTATCTTCACGAGTTTCTGTTGCGGCGCCTGTTCTCGCATTCAGTAGTGGCCATGCTTCATGTGGATTGCGATTCGTCATTAAAGATCTCGTCAAGCTTTAGCAAGCTTGACCTGCTCTAATACCGTGAAGAAAATGATAATGAAGATATTTTTGATGCTCTGTTAATTTCTGGGAAAAATCAACTTCTCATTTCACACGCGGTTCATTTAAGTAGCCCGCTCAAATTCAAAATTACACACATTCTAATACGACACCGTTTCATATTAATGAAAACAGAACAAAAAGAAACAAAAA